ACATTCTTAAGTTTGCCAGTGTCACATTTAGGACACTCAGGCCTCCTAAAACTCCTTCTCTCCTATTTCTGCTGGTTGATTCTAAACAGTGGGAGGTCTGTAATCTAAGGTGATGCCCTGGTGATGGAACCACTGCTAGGAGATGTGGCCCCGAGGCCCCACCCAGAGCCTCTGAGATGAGGTCCTGGCAGGGGCTTGGGCACCTCTGCCGTAACCGAGCTCCCAGGGGAGGCCAAGCACACATTCACTCTGCCCTGACGGAGCCTTGCGGGGGGCAGCAGCCTGATCCTCCCACACCCCAGAGGGCAGCCCGAGGAAAGCACAGAGGGTTTGCGGCCCAGCTCTGCTGTGCCACCCAAACAAGCCGCCTGCCCTCTCTGAGCCCCTCTTGAGGAGTGGTGTCTTGGTTTCACCATTGCAGCTGTTACAAGTCACCACAAACTTAATGGTCTGAAACAACACAGCTATGCGCTCTGTAGATGGGAGTCCATGTGGGTCTCCCTGGGCTTTGGGTGAGGTGTTGGCAGGGCCCCTTCCTCCTGGAGGCTCCAGGGGAGGGTCAGCTTCTTGCCTTTCAGCTCCCACTGGCATCCCCACCCCTGGTGCCGCCCCTTCCTCTGTCAGCAATGCTGGAGGCACAACAGCTCCTTGACCCTACCACTGCCCTCATGCCTCTTGACTCTGTGCCTGCCTCTTCCACTTTTAACTTCCACATGATTGCATCTGGCTCACCTGATGACCCAAGGTAGTTTGCATCTCAAAGTCCTAACAGAGTCACACCTGTGAAGTCCCTTTGCTGGCTAAGGCCACATACTCACAGGTCCTGGGATCAGGATGTGGGCATCCCTGGGGCCCTTATTCTGCCTGCTACAAATGGGGGCAATCACCCTCCAACCCTTGCAACCAGGACTTCTCAAAGTGTGCCCCATCTTCTGGCCAACTAACATCACCTGGGGCTCTTGTTACAGAGCGTGGGGCCACCTAGGCCCCCAGCCTGAGTGCTGGTGGGCACCCTGGGGGGCTGCCTTCCCTTGAGCTCCAGGTGATTCCTCACACAGGAGCATCTGACAGCCTGGATGGTTGAGAGCTGGAGTGCAGCAGGCGCCTGGGGCACTCAGAAGGGACAGGAGGTTTATGCCATCGGACCCCACCAAGAACATGGGCCCGTCCATGGCCAGCTTTGCTCTGCATCTGGGGGCTGGAGACCCTCAAGAGGTGTCTCCCAGGCCTCCATTGGACTCTGCTGCTGGAACCAGTAGATGGTCCTCTGAACCTCCGTCGGTGCCTCCTAGACACTGGGCTCCTCATGCCAGAGAGCCAGCAGGTAGCAAGAGGGTCTCCATGCTGGCAGTGGGCCCACCCCAGGTCTGCCACCGAAGCCCATAAAACCCCTCTTGTGGGTGTCAGGGCTCCTGTAGGGGAGCAGCGGGGGGTGGCTGCATGGACTTATTGTGGGGCCCGAAGACATCTGTCCAAGTTCCAAGGGGGGACTGTCACAGGCAGTCTTTGTACCTTCGCCCACCTGCATTCGGCACAGCTGCCTGGATGGCCCTGTGTGCGTACCAGCAGTGGCCCACCCCAGCTCATTCTTTTCCACCTCAGGAATTTTGCATGATTTGTGGCAGTCGGCTCAGCCCTTGGGCAGGAGCGCCCTGGAAACACAGGGGACATGGTTAAGTTCTCAAGTTCACTGCCCAGAAGGCAAATGCAGAGAAACTTCCAGCACATTCCCCCAGAGGGTCTGGGCCTTTACTGGCCATGGTGTTGACTATCCTGACAATGCATATTTTATGGGCTGTCCCCAGCCCCCCCAGCAACCTGGGATCCCCTCACACATCAACCACCTGCTCTCACCTCTCAGGCTCTGCTCCCAGGGGATCCCACCTGTGGCCTGCCCTTGTCCTCGGGCCAGCCCCACTTGCAGCCTTGTGATGGGGGACCCAGACCCCCACACACACATGCACACACCCCACATGCCCCATGTGTGCCACACACCTGTACCACATGCACACACACCATGTACACACAGGGGCACACGTGCACACACACTCACTCCCTGACCCCACCCAGACTCAGTGGAGAGTCAGGGCCCTGGGCTACAAGTAATAATTACATTTGACTGTTTTAGTCTGTTCAGGCTGCTCTGACAAGATGCCTCAGACTAGGCGGCTTATAAAACAGAAACCTATTTCTCACAGGTCTGGAGGCAGAAAGTCCAAGAACAGGTGCCAGTGTGGTCAGGTTCTGTCGAGAACCGTCTTCCTGGATCCCAGATGCTGTCTTCCGGCTGTGTCCTCACATGGCTGGAGTGGGAGCCCTTTGGGTAAGGGCACTGATCCCACTCATAAGGGCCCCACCCTCCTGCCCTGACCACCTCCCAAAGGCCCCACCCAGTACCATCACCTTGGGGCTGAGGGCTTCAACAGGCAGATTTGGGGGGCATGTGAACCTTCAGTCCAGAGCAGGGACCCTACCAAGGGCCCGGCTGCCAGAGGACCTTCTCTTGGAGCTTTGCCCTCACCATAAATGTGGAGTCTTCACCAGGCCCCAGAGCTGCCGGGCCATGGCTGCACTGGCTAGGGCCTGAAGTCCTGACCTCCCTGCTATTGGTGACACCGCTCGGCAGCCTGGCCAGATTCAGGCTCCTTCCTGCATTGCCTGCCCCACTGGCCCAGGAGCCAGGGCGGGCGTGCTGCGAGTCTCGCAGGCTCCAGGTGCCGAGTGCCTGCAGTGGCTGGAACCCCGGAGTGTACTTCTCCCACCCATGAGGGCCACACCATACCTGCACCCGCAAGTCCAGCTGCCTCCAGATGCCCCCCAAACCTGCATGTGGCACACAGGCCCTCAGGAAACATCCACCAAATACAGCAAGAGTGGGGGCAGTGGGGGCTGGGCTCACAGCTCTCCGCGGGGCTCAGCCTCTGTCCTGGCATGAGGGGAGGAGCCCCTGCAAGGGGAGAAGTAGGCTGGGGGGCAGGCCGAGGGGCCTCACTGGACAGTGTGCTCTTGGGCGGCCGCGCAGGGGCTGGGGAAATGAGGTGCCGATGCCAGGCCAGACGCTCCCGGGGCCCAGCCACACCCCCCGAAGCTGGGGATGGCTCGGAGCAGTCCACACTGGCCGGGAGGCTTGGCTCAGGGGGCTAGGACAACCCTGCTGCACCCTCGGCACAGAGCAGACCTTCCGTGCAGCAGGAGATGACACAGGACAGCTCAGGGAACTCGGCCATCTCCCTCGTCTTGGTACACAGTCCTGCCTCACTCACCCACCTGGGACATGAGCTGTGGCCACGGGCTTGCCCTTTATTTTCAGCTACCTGAATCCAGGCACTCACCTGCACCCAGCCTGGAAGCTTCCATGGCCCCCATGCCTGTGCTCACAGAAGGGGAGAGATGGGGGAGAGTGGCCCTGCTCCTGTGAGTGGCACTGGTCAGGGGCCCCTGCGTTTCCCGGGGGAGTGAGCTAGCTGCTCCAGGTGCTCTCCTGCAGCCCACTCCCTAGAACCCCAGCAGCCTCCGGGAGAGCACCTGGCCTCATGTGAGGGTGCGGGGTGAACTGGAGAAGATGCCTCAGCCTGAGGACTGGCCCCAGCACCTGCCCCCGCCCCCCCACCTACCTCTGTTCCCCCTGCCCGTCACCATAGCCTGGACCTGGCACTGTCCTTGGACATCACCTTCACCACGGCCCTGTCCCAAGGCTTCCATGCCCAGCCCAGCTAACCCACACTGGCCCTAATACATCTGTGTGCCCCAGGCAAGTGCCTGATCTTTCCAGGCCTCAGTTTCCCCAACTGTGCAAGCTACCGGCTAGACTTGTTTTTACTTGTCCAGTCTTCTGGAAACAGCCCTCAGGGAGTGCACAGAGCAGCACGCTACTCCATCCTTCCTCAGGGTCGACACGGGGCTAACTGCACACCCAGCTCCAGGAGGGCAACACCCAGGCCTGTGGTTCTCACTGTCCAGGTCTGCAGAAATGCCCTAAGCCAGGCACCTTGGCTCATGCACAGCAGCCCTGGGCTCCCTCAGAACCCAGAGGAGGTGTGCTCCCACCGCTGCTGAGGACTATGCCACCACGGAGGGGCTGGGGGCAGGGGGAAGTGGATTTCTATTCATATTGTTTAAGCACCTGAAAGAACCCTATGTTCACTTTTTAAAAAATGCTTCATGAGCCAATAAACTGTTTTTGCTTAAGCTAGTTAGGTTTCCTGCCACATCTTATCAGGCAGGCCCTGGCTAAAACAGGGCACAGGTATCCTGACCACTGCAATGGAGCAAACCTGGAAAGTTTTGATGTCCAGGTGGCACCACTGAGGAGGGTTGCAGGATGATGTTCAGGCCCCAACATCATTCTAAGAGTGAACTAGCACACAGTTATTCTCCAGGCGCCCCAGGGTCTTCAGAGTGGTGATCCACCCTCCCGGGGGGAGCAATTCCTGGGCCCTCCCCACAGAGGGCACGGAGCAGTGGGAAGGGTAGGGGGTTGTGTGCAGTCTTCCCTGTCCCCCTGAAGCCCACCTGTGCCCACAGGACTCAGGACACACACCACAGCTGAGTGGCCACTACAGGAGAGCCCAGAGGAGCGGCCAGGGTCAGCCTTCAAGAAAGGGGGTGAACTAGGTCCTAGGGCTCCAGGGCTTTCCCAGGTGAGGGAGACGGTAGGGTGCAGAGTTCGGCAGCAGCCACGCTGTGGGGGACAGCGTGCGATGCTCCTAGTGGGTTCCAGCTACATGGGTGGGAGGCGAGCTGCAGCGGAGGGCCCGGAACGCAGGCCTGGACGCTTGGCCTTGACCCAGAGGACGGTGGGCAGAGCCACGCTGGGTGTGCGAAGCCCCAGGAGCGGAAAAGGGACTGAGCCGCGCAGCGGGGTTGCCCACGGCCCCACCCCGCGCCCGCCCGCGCTCCTCCGTGAGGCCGCGAGGGGGCGCCGCGCCGCGCCGCTCCGGGAACGACCGCCAGCGCACGGCGGGCTGCGCCTGGGAGCCGCGCCGGCGAAAGGGCGACGGGCGGCGGGCAGCGTCCCAGGTCGGCGGTCCCGCGGCTCGCAGCCGGCGCGGCGGGGGCTGCCCATGGGCCGGGCCCGGGGTCCGGGCGCGCCGGGAGCCGGTGAGTCGGGGCGCGGCCGTGCGGGACGAGGGCGCTGCGGCCAAGGGCGCGAGGCTGCGGGCTCTGGGGAGGGGCTGCGGGCTGCGGTGGCGGGGCGCGGGTGCGGGGCAGGCGCGCCGCGGAGGTGCGAACGGCGAGCCAGCGGGGACGGCGGACGTCCGGGCAGCTGCGCGGGGACGCTTGGGCCTGACCCCAGGCACAGGTGAGCGCGCGGGTGGGCGTGTGCGCGGCCGGCGGGCACGGGAGGCGCGGCCGCCGGGTGAGCTGCGGGGCAGGTGGACGCGGGAGGAGGCTGCGGGGTGGGTGCGCCGAGGCGGTGGCGGGGAGGAGAGCCGCGGGGGACACACCCCCGGGCGCCCGCCGCGCCCCGAGGCCGGCTGTGCAGCGCGCCCCTCGCCACCCCACTCGGGGTCTTCGGCCCAGCCGGGACCCAAGCCCCCCACCCCCGCCGCACTGGGCCTCAGCTTTCCGGTCTCTGAAATGGGAGTAGCAAGGCGGCCCCGCCGGGTGCTTGGGAAGAAGGGGAAGAGCCTTGATCCTGAGAAGAGGGTATTGTCTCTGAAGCTGGGTGGGATTGAGGAGAGGGTCAGTGAGAGCCATCGGAGAGCCTGCGGGGTCAGCCAGGGGCTCTGGGTGTGTCCCTCACGGAGTGACGGCGGGCAGGGGCCGGAGACCCCTGGTCCACTCCTCTCTGTGCTCAGGTGGGCGTCCTGGAGGGGAGAGGCGCGGGCACGCTCCTGTCCCTGCCCCATGCTCGGTGTGCGGCGGCAGGTTGGGTGGTAAGGGGCTCATCCCAGCCCCGCCCTCCGGCCCCCGGTCTCTGAGGCAGATGTTCTGAGCTTCCGGAGCTGCGTCGTGTCTTGGGGAAGTGCACCTACCCAGCAGGTGCTGTGTCCCCCATGTTAAGGTTGGTGTGCTTAGGCTTAGCGGGTGACAGGACCTGTCAAGGTCTCAGGACAGGGAAGCGGCAAAGCTGGGGTTCTAACCCCAGTGCAACTCGCTCCAAAAGCGTATTCTGGCTGCTATGCCAGGCGACCAGGGCAGGCCTGCGATTGCCCACTCCCTCGGGGAGAGAGTTCACCGGGCGCCTACTGCGAACAATCTGCTCCCCGCCCAGTAAGTGCTTACAAGCCGGTGTGGGACAGTGAAGCTGAACAAGTAATCAGAGGAAAAGCCAAAGTTCTTGCAGAGGATAAGAGGACTAGGAGGAAAATAAGGCGGGGTAGTTGGAGTGGAAGACTGTGGGGTGGGGGGTGTTAAGAGCCTCAGCCTGGTGAGGGAGGGTGTCCCAGAGCAGTGACTCTCTCAGGCTGTGATGTAAATGGAAGAGCGGAGCCAAGGTTAAGGTCTGAGGGAATGGCAGGTGCAAAGGCCCTGAGGCAAGCTGGGGTATGGGTGGGAGGAGCTGGCCAGAGCCAGTGAAGGGAGCTGGGTTTTCCTCTAAGCACAGTGGGCAGCCCCCAGAGGGTTCACAGTTTAAGTATGGTAAGGATGCCCCTGAGGGAGGTGGGGAGGATGGGGGCAGGAGAGGGAGTGAGGAGGAGGTGGCTGGAGTCTGCCAGGGATTTTCGAGCACTCGGGGTCTCCTTCGAGGGACCAGCTGTGGTGGACAGGGAGCCTGGGTTGGGCTCAAGCACTGCCCTGTGTCCTGCAGCCTCCTGGTACCTGGCTGCCAATCTCCCACTTCCTGTGCCCAGCAGCAAGGAGGTGCCTGTGGGGAGTTCACAGAAACAGGCAGCATGCCACTGGGTGGTTGGACTGGGTGTTCAGTGAGTTTTTCATCCTTTTGACATGTCCCCATAAGTCTTTGAGCATTGTCCAGCTCTCACCTGTACTTTGACCCAGACCTAGAGTCAACCTTTTCTCCAAGAAGCCTTGGCACCTTTTAGCCAGGAGTGGGTTTTAGAAACCAGTACTGGCCATTAGATGTGCTCATTGCCACTTGGCATCATTGCTTCTAGGCCTTCTCAGTGGACTGAGTCAAGAAATCTGTTTTTTAAACTAAATATTTATATTATCATCTCCCTTCTCCAACAGTAAGAACTGGTCCCCCCAAAACAACAATATAAGTAGACATTTGCTTGATCCTATAATACACCCAAAATAGTTTCAGAACCACTACATTCAAACCACTGCCAATCAAAACTTACTAGTTCAAGTTCAGGGTTTCTTTGGGAGGCAGTCAGCATGGTGTGAGTGTGTTACCAATTTGATGAAGCATACTGAAGCACACTGTTAGCTTCATCTGTTTCTGTTTGCACATGATTTGGGTTTTTTGGGTTTTTTTAGTTTTTATGATATAATTTTATTTTTGAACCTGTGAAACATTTAATGGTTCAAAGGTGAAAACTATTAAAAAGCTGCACTGAGAAGTCTCAACCCCATCCCTGTGTCTTCCTCCTTGTTCTCACACCAGGGGTACCCATTTGAAATCATTTCTGGTTTATCCTTCCTGCGTTTCTTTTGCACAATCCCCTTTATGCATTATCACAAAGTTAGCACACACAGCTCTTTTGCCCTTGCTTATCTCAATTAAAAATATCTCTTGCCAGTCCAAGGAAATTTTCCTCATTCTTTTGTACAGCTACATAGTACTCCAGTGAGTGGCTGTATTATGGTTTATTCACCTAGTGTCCTATGGATGGGCCTTTGTTATTAAACACAAGGGAGTAATGGATAACCTCGCATATATGTTATTTGTATTTGTTGAGGTGTATTTTTAAATCTAAGAAGTAGGAGTGAACACATATTTATTTTGTTGGCTATTCCCAAATTCCCCTCTCCCAGATTTTGCACACCCATCAGCCATGTCTGATAGTGTCTGTTTGCCCTACAGCCTCACTGCTCTGAGAGCTGGGCAAAAATACTTTGGTGCATATCAATTCATGTTTCTATTAATATGAATGAAATGGGACATCTTTTCATATGTTCATGAGTCATTTGATTATCTTCTGTGAATTGCCTGTCCATATATCATGCCCATTTCCTATAGGTTTTGGATTTTTTTCTTGGATTTAAGTTTGTTTAAAACACCTATTAGGAAGATTAATGGTTTATCTTTGTTATATTGCAGATATTTCTCCCAGTTTTTTAAAATTTTGTCTATGATGCATTTTGATATTAAAAGCTTTCCATTTCTATGTGGTTGATGTAATCATTCTTTTCTTTTATAGCATCTAGATTTTTGAATCCTAGTTGGAAAGGTTTTTCTCACACCCAGTTATAGTGGAATTTACCCATGTTTTCTAGGATTTGTTTGGTTTTACACTCAGTTAAAGGATCTTAATCTTTTCCCAAATTTCTATCCCTCTATCCAACATGCTTTACTTAAGAGGCCATCTTTTCTCTAGTGATCTAAAAAGCACCTATATTATATACTAGACATCTAAATGCAGCTGGACCTATTTCTGGGCTTTTGAGTCTGTCTTATAGTTCTGTCTCTTCATGTGTCTCTTCATGTTTGTTATATCATAAACACAGTGGGAATTATAAAAATATTGTGTGTGTGTGTGTGTGTGTGTGTGTGTGTGTGTGTGTGTGTGTGTGTGCGTGTGAAGGGCCATGAAGACTTTATCCACAACTATTGCCATAGAGGAGCAAGACTGAACTCAACTCCCATTATTGTGCTTGGATATCTGGATACCTGGAAGGGCTAATCCTCCTGCTACTGCTTGTCATTCCAGAGGATTCCTAGCTATTCCAGCATGTTGCTGGTATCTTTTGTTGGGATCATATTATATTTACATATTAGCTTCAGGATAATTGACATCATTATGAAGCTGAGTCATCTTTCCCAAAACCAGGAGTGTCTATGTGTTCAAGACTACTTTCAGGAGCATTTTGAAGTTTTCCTCACATTTCTTGTTAAGTTTATTCATGAGCACTTTACCTTGTTTGTTGCTATTATAATTGTTTTTTCTTCTATTATATCTTATAACTAGTTTTTGTTTGTGTGTTTGTTGTTTTATACCTATCTGCCTCACTAAATCTATTTTGTTTTATCACTTGATTCTTTTAGATAGTTCAGGTATTCTGTCATCTGCAAAATGAAATAGTTTTATTTCTTCCTGATTTTTAGGATCTAGTTGCTTTTTATTATCTAATTAAGTTGGGCAAATACCTCCAATTCAATATTAAATATTGGATATTATTGCTATCCTTACCTTGCTCCTGACCTTACCAAAAATGCCTCTAGTTCTTCTCCCACTAAGAAAGACACTAACTTTAGGATGGGGAGATACACACACACACACACACACACGGATGCACACACACATATACATATAGTTAAGGGAGTATCCACTAATTTCTATTTTATTGGGCAGTTTTTTAAAATTAGGAATGAGTATTGAGTTTTGTTGAAGACATAGAGGGAGATAATTATATGTTATTTCTCCTTAGTTTTCTAATAAGATGATTCATATTAATGGATTTCTTAATATCAGGTCCAAAATGAGGGTGAGGCAATCAATGAGGCTTATTAATGTGAACATTAAGCCATCCTTGCATTCCTGAAATAGAAACCACCTGGGCATTATATACATTTTAATATGGTTGTATTAGCTATCTACTGCTGTGTAACAAGTTACCATAAACAGAGTGGCTTAAAACAACACACAGTGGGTCCCAAGTCTGGGAATGGCTTAGCTGGGTCCTTGCTGGTGTTTGTAGGACTGGGTCCTCCTCTAGAGCCTCGGCTTGGAACAGGTTCCCTTTCCACTCAGTGGTTATTGGCAGCACTCAGTGCTCTGTGGTTGTAGGAATGAGATCTGAAGTGTTTTGCTGGTGGCTGGTTGGAATCTGCCCTCAGCTTCTGGAGGCCACCTGAAGTTCCTAGGAACCACCTGTAGTTTCTTGCCATGTGGGCTTCCTCAACATGGACTTTTGCTCCATCAGGCCAGCAAAGAGCGTCCAGAGTAAATCTGCTGCATGGAGTCTCATGTAACAGAATCATGGGAGTAACAGCCCACCACTGTTGCCATGCTCTTCTGACAGAGGAAAGTCAAGGGTTCCATACACACTCAAGGGAATGGATATCAGGAGAAAGGGATCATTAGTGCCCTAGAGTCTGTCCACCAAACTGGTGTTGTATTCTGTTTGCTAATATTTATTTTTGCTAAATTTTCCCCAGCCAGCCCTTGGTTTGAAAAAGTTTAGCTTCCGATGGATTTTTCAAGAAGGCTCATGACTACAGCTTTCCCTGATTTCTTTCATGTTGAAATTGTATACCCTTAATATCTGAAGGATAGCTTGGCTGGTTATAAAATACTAACTCACGCTTTCTTTCCTTGAATGTGTTAAAATGTTGTGCTGGGTTGCATTGCTTATGTGTTGTCATGAAGTCTGATACAAACATGTGTTTCTTCCCTTTATGAGGGACTTCATTAATTTTCCTGGAGCTCAAAAGGACCTTTTTTTTTCTTTACCTTTAAGGTCTAATCATTTTACTAGGAAGTATCTGGGAATTAACTATTCAGTATCAATTTTCTCAGGTACATGGGTGACCCTTTGAATATGCAGACTCAAGTCTTATTTCCAGAAAGTATTTTTGGATAATAATTTTAAATGCTTTCCTCCCAATATTATGTCTATATGCTAGATCTTTTTTGCCCACCTTATAAGTCTATCACTTTCTCTGTGATACTCTTTAGTATTGTCTTTATTTCATTTTGTTTTGCAGTTTTCATTCATTTCCTCAATGAGCACTATGCAACTTTCAGTCAAGTTTATTTTCCCTGAGCAGGCTTCTAACTTAGTGTTCATCTCTGAAATGATTTTGTCTTTTTCATGTTCTTTCTTGAGTTTAAACAACTCCAGTTTCATGTTATCTGTGGGTTTTTGGGTTGTTTTTTTGCGTGTGTCTGTTTCTGTTCTGAGTTTTCAAGTTTGTACTTGAGGTGTTTTTTCTCATGTCTCAGAATGCTTTCTTCAGGCAATGCAAATTGGGCTGGTGTGTTACTTTGTTCCTCTGTACAGTGGTTTTGAGAATAACTCAGCCTCATATTGGCTTTATGTGGATACAGTCTGTTATCTTCTGTTATCTAAGGCACATCTTTATGTTTGTGGGGACTGGTAATACTAGACAAATGCAGGCAGGAGTTGGGGATGTGGGTAACGTCAGGTTTCTTAGTTCAAGAGTGCCCTCTTCTGTTAGTTGAGAGAAGTGCAGCCTCCTTACTTGGAGGCTCTTTGCAATGGTTGTGTGTCTTCTAAGTTTAAATTCACTTTGCTACTATGAATCCTGGGATTCAGGCTACTTCTTATTCATTTACCACCATCCCTCTAACGGCCTCCACTTCTGAGCCGTGTGCCCCAGAAGCCAAGCCTTTCTGAGCCAGCCGCCCCTGGCCCGCATGCTTTGCAGCCCTTTCAATTCCCAGGCGTCCTGTGCTCCGGCTCCCCTGGTCTCAGACCTGCTCTCAGAATTTCCTCACGCGGGTGAGACTTTCTCCTTCCCGTGCTAGTTTGTCCAGGTTCTTGGCTCCACCTGCCCGCCCCTTGTCCCCGGGCTCTGCTGACCCTGCTGTGCCGGGGCAGTGGGGAAGGCCCTGTTGTCTCCTTCAGTTTCAGGCACGCAGCAGCCTGGGTCCCGGCCGTGCTCCGGGCCTGGTCTGGGTGGTTTCACTTGCTTTCAGTCGAGCTCTCTGGGGAGGTTTGCATTAAGGCGGCAGCCGTCATCTCTTGGGACCTGGCCATGTCCCCAAACGTTGTAACTGGAAAGCCCCATACAGACTGGTTTGCTCTTCGCCGAAACCCACCACTCGTTAACATCCCGCAGCGGGTGCTTCTCTTCTGCTGAAGCATCTAGGAGTCAGTTGCCAGAATCATGCCCTCCCCCCTAATAACCAGCATCTCCCTGGATCAAGGACGTCCTGCAAAACCTCCATTCAGGTTCCACGCTCAGGAAACTCATCAACACAAAAGCATTCCTCATACACAGTCCTAGTCCACTTGGGCCAGCTGCCCCAGCCATCTCCTTTGGGCCTTACTTTTACATCAGTGAGCCAATCAGTGATCCAGCATTGCACGGGGTTGATGTGTTCATGAGAGTCTTTTTTTTTTTAGGAGAGCAAGGCAGAGGCTTTTATTTAGATATAAAGCAAAAGGACAGAGCTCCTGGCTCAGGCCAGGAGGGGACAAGCGAGTCCCCCATGAGAGTCTGAATCTCCACAGTCCCTCCACGATTTTTGTTTATCCTGACATTGTTTTGAAGGCTCATATCCATTTTCTCCCATAACCTGGAATTGTTGGGTGATTTCCTCAAAACTCAATTCAGGCTAAGTGTTTTGGGCTGAAGTTGTTTTAAAATTACAGACCGTGCCGCGCGTCCAGGAGGAGAGCCCCGCACCGCCCCCTGCCCATGCTGTGTGCTCCTGGGGTCAGGCGTCTGCCGGCCTTGAGTGGGGAGCAGGTGCTGGGAGGAGAGGCGGGGGGTCCTGGGGCTGAAGCCTCTGCCAGGGTGTCTGTGGTAACTTTGGACTCCAGCCTCAGTTTCCTTTCCCACCCTCCAGGCATCCCTCCTGGTCCCCTTGCTGTCACTGTCACTGTGCCCTCCAAGGGGGCCACGTCCTACTGTGCAGCCTCTGGGTCTGGCCCTGAGCATCCAGCTCTGCCTCTGGGACTTCCCTCTCAGCAGAGAAGCCCACCATGCCTGTTGCATGCAGGCCCCCCCACAAGATTCCTTAGGGAACCAGAGTCACCCCCAGAGTCACCCCAGGTCACTGAGGCTGGGAGCCCCAGCTTCCTCACTGGGTGGCGGCTCTGAGGCCCCCAGGATCATTCTGAGTTTCAGCCACCAAATGGGGCCTGTGTCTGGTGCAGAGTATGTGTGCTCCTTCCCTTACGTATGTCCCTCACGTTCGATGCTGATAACAAGAGCAGTTCCTTTGCCCGGCAGAGCTCCCAGGGGCCCCTGCCTGCAGAAAGGAGCCCTCTCCTGCCTGTCACGTCCACCTCCACAGATTCCTTAGAGCCTGGCTCCCCAGGCACTGCCACCAAGCACACCCCAAACTACCAAGCCATGGAAACCCGGCCAGGAAGAGTCCTAGGGTCTCACCTGTGAAAAGCCCATGATTTGGAGGGTGGTGCCTCAGTTTTATTACTTTTGAGTAAAGCTAACACAGGCTCCAGTGTTGCCAGTTAAAGGCCTTTCTCTCCTCACTAGAGATCATCCTAATTGGTGAATTCCTGCTTCCCTGCCACCGATCTCACCCAGGGCCAGGAGCACAGCCTCTTGGAATCAGGTAAATATTGCCCCTGCAGAATCAATATTTACTTGACCCATTTGTTCAGTAAATTGTTCATTTGTTTGTTTTTAAATCCAGACAGCATTCAAAAGTGCCAGAGTCTGGCTAAATAATAATTATAATAAAGTGACCACTTCTCTCTTTGATGGTTGCAGCCCCCACATGGGGCCAGCACCTGTGCATCTGTGATCTCAGGTAATTCTCACAGCAGCTTCCATCTGATTTATAAATGAGAAAAAGAAAACAGAGGTTCAGGGGCATAAGGGGACTTCATAGAGTCACTCAGCCAGCCTGGGGCTTGGAGCTCCATCTGTGCTGTTTGTAGTCTGATACGTTTAAGGGCCGGGCTATTTTTAGAGGTATGCCTGCCCTCTCCTGTCTTTGTGGGGCCTCCATTCTGCTCAGCCGCGCGTCTGTCCATCCATCTGATCACCAGGAGTCATGCTAGAAACAGTCGCCCACTTTCAGGCCTGAGCTGGGCTCAGTCAGGAGCCTCTCTGAGTGCTTACTGTTACCAGTTGCTCATAAACATTATCTCATGAGAATGGAAATGAATAAAACAAGAAACAAAATAATCAAGAAAAAAAACCCTTTGAAAAGAATAAAATTAAATTCCTGGTGAGGCTGACTAGGAGAAAACACAAGTTACCAATATCTTACACATACTAAAAGGATAACAAGGGATGTTTATGGAGAATTTTAAACAAATACATCTGGTAAAAGGGACAAATGTCATAACATAACTTACCAGAATTGACACAAGAAGAAATAGAAAACCTGAACAGTGGTATTTCTGGTAAAGAAATTGAATTTATAATGAAAAACTTGCCCAGAAAGAAAATGCTGGACCCAGGTGGCTTTCCTGGTGAATTCTATCGAACATGTGAGGAGGAGACACCCTCGCACACTCATTCCATCAGCAAACATGAGCATGTGTGAAAATGACAAATGCTGGGCATGATGGGGTTCAACAGGGACCCTTCTAATCCATGCCTGGGGGTGTAAACTGGAACAACCAGTTTGCAAAACAACCGAGAATTGTGTGGTCAAGTTGAATATTTGAAGCATATCCTTTGCAGGTCCCCAGAGAACCACGTGTGCATGTGCACGGAGGGCCCTGCTTTAGGTGGGCTCCAGAGCCCCCCGGGAATCAGCCTAAGTTGCACTGGCAGGAAACCAGAAAGAGAAATTGTGGGACATGCACATAGTGGGCCATCAAGGAGCAGACGCTTAGGAACATCATGTTAAGTGAAAAAAATCACAGGGCACTGTATACAGAATGATACTATTTTTATATAAATCTTAAAAGCAAGCAAACTATACAATATGTTGTTTCAGGACACGTTGCTGAGATGAAATTATTTTTTCTTCTAATATCTAGTGTCTTAGCAACTTTCAAATGTTATTATTATTTCAAATGTATTATCAACTGCAGTCACCATGCTGCACGTTCCAACCCCAGGACTTGTTTACTATATAGCTGGAACTTTGTCCTTTTTGACCCCCTTCACCCATTTCACCCACCCTGGCCCCCACCTCTGGCAACCACCAGTCTGTCCTCTGTATCTGTGAGCTCTATGTGTTTGTTTTGTTTTTTTAGATTCCACATATAAGTGGGATCCCATGATATATGTCTTTCTCTTCTGACTTCACTTAGCATAATGCCCTCAAAGTCCATTCATGTTGTTGCAAATGCATAATTGCTTCCTTTTTCATTACTGGATAGTATTCCTCTGTGTGTGTGTGTGTGTGTGTGTGTGTGTGTGTGTGTGTGTGTGTATATAATTTTATTTATGCACTCATCTCTTCATGACCCTTAGGTTGCTTCCAGGTCTTGGCTACTGTGAATAATACTTCAGTGTACATGGGGGTACAGATATCTTTTCAAATTAGTGTTTTTGTTTCCTTCAGATAAATAGCCAGAAGTGATATTTCTGGATCATATGGTATTTCTGTTTTCAATTTTTTGAGAAACATCCATACTGTTTCCACAGTAGCTGCACCAATTCACATTTCCACCAACAGTGTAGGAGGGCTCCCTTTTCTCCACATCCTTGCCAAGAATGTGTCTTGTTCTTTGTCTTTTGGATGGTGGCCATTCTGACTGGTGTGAGGTGATATCTCATTGTGGTTTTGATTTGCATTTCCCTGATGATTAGTGATGGGGAGCATCTTTTCTCTCATGTGCCTGTTGGCCATCTGTATGTCTTCTTTGGAAAAATGTCTATTCAGATCCTTTGTCCATTTTTTAATCACATTGTTTTTGGTATTAAGTTGTATGAGTTTGATACATTTTTGTAATGAATTATTTTTAAATTCCAGATAGTGGGAATGATGAGAGTGGGGTGGGTAGGGAGGATGGCACAGGTGGAAAAGGAGGGGTCCCCAGCTGCACTGGGTGGAAGACCTCCAGGCTTCTAATTTGTTACTATGCTTCATAACTCATGTGTTACAGGTAACCTTTTTAGGGAACAAACATTCCTTAGCAAATTCCTTTCAGTGAATGCAACATGTTAAAAGGATTCCTGCTATTTTCATCCCATAGTCCTCCTGTTGAACTATACCCTGGGGACACACTTCCCACTGGGGAGACCACATGGCCACCAGAGCACCTCTCTGCTGCGAGCCCTGGCACAGGGCTGGAGTGTCCCCAAGGACACACCTGGGTGGGGGAGGTCCCCTCTAGGGAGGCTCCCTGAAGGAGGTCATGCTGCTCTGGAAGGTCAAACAAGAGTCAGGCAAAAAGAGGGTGGTCAGCAAGGAGGAGAGGCAGGAACAAGAGCCCAGGCCCCCAGCACAAGAGACCCCGGCAGCTCAGTGCCTGCTCTCTTGTGCCCCAGCTGTGGGTGGCTCACGGACAGATCCTGGGCCGCTGTCCCCACCACCTGCACACAGGCTGGGAGCGAGGTGTGGGAGATGCAGGAGGGCTCCAGACTTTCTTAGTCAGCTGTTTCCTGGGTTCATGTCCTGACCACCCCAGGGACCCCCAGCTCAGCGGTTCTGACACACCCCTTCAGAACAAAGGTAGAGTACTAGGTTGTTTGTGTGAACACGTGCAAGGGGGATTGTGGAAAGGGTTACAGACCCTGAAACAACAGAGTGTATGACAGCTGCTCCCAGGATGTGAATTGCAGGCAGGCCCCCAGTGGCCTGCGGTTTGAAAACAGATGTTTCTGCGTGAACACAGCCAAATTATATTAGCACTTTGGATGATGAAAAGGGTTTTAAGTGTCCGCATGTTGCAGTTCTGAAATGTTTGCCAGGAAGGGAAAATGTCCTTATATTTTGCAAATAGGGAGTGAAAGGAGGAAGTACAAATTAATCTATTGTACTGTAACCAGTTTCATGAGTGGAGTCAGTGACAGATGTACCTGGCATATAATAAACGTGACCAGCAGTGTTACCACTTGTCTTAATGAGGAAGCCCTGTGTCCCTTCCTGCTGCCATATTCATCCCCTGCTCAGACAGGGAGGGCAGCCCAAGGTCACGGGACACCAGGCCCTGTGGAGTTTAGGGAGAAAGTCACAGATTTTCCTCTTTTTTTAAAAAAAAAATTCTAATGGAAAATTTCAAAAATGTGAACATATAAAAATAAAAATAGGATGAACACAGACCACCATCATAGACCCGTCTCCCAGCTTCTAGGCTATCCGCTCACAGCCCACCCCGCCTTTATCTGTGCTCCCACCCTGCCGGGGTCTTACGCAAATCCAGGATACCCTGTCATGACTCTGATATGTTGAATCTCTGAACTGCTAGGGGTGTTATTTGTGTGAGCACCATGGTACTGATACACCTAATGAAATCAATAATTTCTTACTATTGTCTAGTACCCAGCCCATAACCAGATGCCCCCATTACTTCAAAAATTTCTTTTTACAGTTGGTTAGTTTGAATCAGGATCTAAACAAGTTCCACACACTGCATTCAATTTTATAACTCTAGGTCTCTTTTATTCTATTCTGGTCCTTCTTCTCATTTGTTTTGTTTTGTTTTGTGGTCTTTATTCCAGACTGGTGAGAGAAATAGGGACATATTTGCCTGTAGGGTGTCCCAGGTTCTGGATTTGGCTGTTTGTTCCCTTCTGGTGTCATTGAACTTGGTAGCCTATCCCCCTCATCCTTCCCCGGCCAGCAGTTTGATCTAGAGCAGCTCTGTCCAGGAGAAATATCATGGGACACTGTGAGTAATTTGAGATTTCCTTGTAGCCCAGCCATATTAAAAAAGGTGAAATTAAGATTAGTATATTTTACTTAAACCAATTGACTCAAAATAGTATCATTCCAACCTGAAATCAATGTAAAAGTTACCAAGGATCTATTTTACATTCTTTTTTTCATACTGTTTTCAAAATCAGATGTGCATTTTGTGCTTACAGCACATCTCAGTTTGAATGTTAAATATTCACCAAAAATAATTGATCTGTATTTAAATTTTCATAAAAATTACAGTTGAAAAGTTGAAAAACATACTCAAATTTATTTTCCAATAACTGCATCAAGTATCAGGTTTTATCAACTTCCTTTTCAAATATCTGCCTCATTGATATACAGTAAACACTCATGACATATGTAAACACTTATAAAACCATCACCACAATCAAAATAATAAATCTATCCAGCCAGCTACTTTCACTCAGCACAATTATTTTAAAGCATATCCACATTGTGTATATAGCTTCAACAGCTTCTTCCCCTCACTGCTGAGCAGGAGTTCTGTTGTATGGACATACCATAATTTGTTTGTGATGGCCCCCAGGATTCCTGACTCCATTGCACACGCACTGGATAATGCTCTCCCATTGACTATGAGAGGGACTTCCAAATATGATGAGATTTTAGGTTATGAGTTTACATTATATGGAAGGAGGGATTTTGCAGATGTCATTAAGGTGACTGGTCAGTTGACTTAGTTAATGAAAAGGGAGATTATTATGGGTGGGCCTGACCAAATCAGGTGAACCCTAATGGAGGGCCTGGATCTTTCCTGAAATCAG